CTATAACTATGTGAATGCCATAATCAATAATACATAGTCTTCCTATGAGTAATGTTTCCAGCTAGAGTATTTTATTACAATTCTGTTGTCCCTTCAAATAGATAAGCAAATAAATAATTTCAGAATATTTTCGTAGTTGCTGTATGGTGTTTTTTTATCAGCCAGGTTCTTGTTGTTGTTTTATGAATTTAAAGCTGCACTCAAATGAGTAATTTGTAAATAACTCCCATGTTTTTAGATTGGTCTCAGTATTACATTTCTGAAGTTCTGTATTCAGACAATTCCTCCTTTTAAAAAATCATTTTAATCTAATTTAAGCAAGTTGTTTTACACATTGACATAATTTGTTCATTCTCTTGGATAGTTTAATCGTTCCAGTAGAAATTGTGATTTGCTTGTAGAAGTGTCTCATGAATGCTTATGTGTTGTCAGCAGACAGCTGTAGCCTATACTTCCAAACCCATGTGTTTTCATGCCCACGCCAGAGTGTCCCATCCAGCTCCTAGCTTTCCTACTCCCTGTTTAACATTTGGCAAGTTACTTAACATCTTTGGGCCTCATCTTTAAACAATTTTTTTCTTAGAGATGGGATCTCACTATGTTAACCAGGCTGGTCTCAAACCCCTGGCCTCAAGTGATCGTCCCATCTTGGCCTCCCAAAGTGCTAGGATTACAGGCATGAGCCACAATGTTTTTGTCTCTAAAATGACAAGATAATAAAAATTACATACACCTCAGAAGATTGTGGATGTATGTAAAGCGCTTCACACGCAGAACACGGGAAGTACTGTATGTTCTATGTGAGTGTGTATTGTGGTTGCTGTTACAGTCGTTCTTTACGTCATGCTTTGTGTTTGCCACTGATGTTTCTTAACTTCAAGCGTTTTGGGTCTTCTAGAGATTTATTTGTTTTAACATACTTGTTAGTATCCATTTCAAATACCACATTATTTCTTTATATGTTGTTTGTGGGCTCTTTATTCTGGCCAGGTAATAGTGGAAAGTTATGCTTATCTGTGGAGATTCTATTTTTAAATGGTATCTTTAGCCATCTGAGTCTATTTTGATTGTGTTTTTATTTCCCCCTGGCGACCAATTTTTTTTCTCCCTAGATTGTAACAGGCATCTCTGTGACGCTTTCTATGTCACCTCACTTCTATCTTTTATAATCCTCTTCTGCCCCCACCACACCTGCCTCACATATTAGACCTTTGGAACTGTTATGTTTTCTTTCCTTGACTACAGTACCTGACACCTAGCAAATATTTGTTGAATTTATGAATTACATAATATTGTTGATTTCATATCCCATCCACATCTTCTTACTTACTTTTGCTTGTAACCTCAGCATTTTAAGTCTGTTCGGAGTAGCCTTCTGCTCTTTGGAATCCTTAAAGATATTAGTAGATTAACTGAACATGACCTTTAGTCATCAACAGAAATCTGGTTTATATTTTGCATTGCTCTTCTAATGAGTTGGTGAAGTAAGTCTTGGTGTTAAAACTGGCATTAGCCAGATGAAATACACCCTTTGCCACCTTAGAAGTAAAGAAGAAGCAATTCCACTGTCTTGTTTCTTATTCTTTTTTTTTTTTTTTTTTTTTTGAGACGGAGTTTCACTCTTGTTGCCCAGGCTGGAGTGCAATGGCGCGATCTCGGCTCACCGCAACCTCCGCCTCCCGGGTTCAGGCAATTCTCCTGCCTCAGCCTCCTGAGTAGCTGGGATTACAGCCATGCGCCACCATGCCCAGCTAAGTTTTTGTATTTTTACACCATGTTGACCAGGATGGTCTCGATCTCTTGACCTCGTGATCCACCCGCCTCGGCCTCCCAAAGTGCTTGAGCCACCGTGCCCGGCCTTTGTTTCTTATTCTTAATCCAATGCTTGTAGGAGCTCTGGAGAAAATCATACTTTGTATTAAAGCATACAGATTGATTTGCAAACATTAGAGCATTTTCTGAAAATATACCAGTTACTCTGTTTAATGGCAGTATTATCTTTAGAAACCTGTTTCTTGTAAATCTTTTCTTTTTTAGCTTATCTACTTACACCTCACAAGTAAGGTGCCAAAAATCTATTTGATAGCTGCACTCTCAGTGCAGTAAATTGAATTAATCCACTTTCAGAGAATCATTCCTGTTCGTATGGATAGAGGGAAATGGTAGAGTCCTCAAGCCACACACTGTCACTTATTTAATTTGTTAGATAGCTAACATATTCACTGTCTGACTTAAGTTGTGAAAGTTGACAGAATAAACAGGGTCCTGTACCTAATGATTCATTTATGTGGCTTCTTCTTTGTCCCCTCAGTGACTCTCACAAACTTCCAACTACAGTTGTCAGTGGGGAAGTATTTAGAGTAGGAAACTAAAATGAACTTTGCTGTTCTTCTTTTAGTTGTGGTGTATTTGATTATCCCTAAAAAGTAACAGCACTCTCAGAAAACCATTACACTATTCTAACCATTTAAATTAGAATAATCAGGAGGTCTTTTTTGGTAATATTTGTGGTCACTATTGCAGTGCATGCCGTTATGCTGAAGGTCCTACTCAATTGAGGCAAAAATGAAAATAAACACTATAAGGTATCTTAATTGGAGAGGAAGAAGTCCAACTGTTTTTATTCATGGATGATATGGTCATCTATGTAGAAAATTTGATGAGCTCTATTAAAGCTATGAGGATGGTAACTTTAGCAGCTGAGTTTAGCAGGGTTGCAGAATACAAGATCGGTATACAAAAACCATTTGTGTTGATAATCAGTTTCTACATATTATCAATGAGCAACCGGAAATCGACATTTCAAAAACAGTACCATTCACAGTAGCATCAAAACATGTGAAATACTTAAGGATAAATTTGACAAAATCAGTGCAAGACCTGTATGGTGCAAACTACACATCAGTGTGGAGAGGAACTAAGACCTTAGTAAAACGGAGAGGGATGGCATGCTTATGAGAGGAAAGCCCCTCAATATGAACAGCTGGTTCTCTCCAAAGTAATCCATGGATTTGGTGCCTCCCAATCATAGTCTCAGCAGGTTATTTCATGGAAATTATTAATCTGATAGCAAAATTCATATGGGAATGCAAAATATTTAGAAGAACTTTGAAAAATAAATTTGGAAGACAAATGCTACTTGATTTCAAGATTCATTATAAAGTTACAGTAGTTAAAGTATGGAATTGACATCGAGATAGGTCTATAGATGAGAACGGAATAGAGTTCAGAAAGAGACCCACACATATGTGGAAAATTGATTTTTGACAAAAGCAAGTGGGAAGTTCACTGGAGAAGTGATTACCTCTGCCAGTCACTGAAACAACTGAATATCCATATATGAAAACCCAAATAACTTAAATCTACAAATTGTACCATAAATAAAAATGAACTCAAAATGGATGATAAATATAAATGTAAAACCTGAAAACATAAAATTTCTAGAAGAAAACACAAGATCAAAAAAATCTTTGTGACTTTGGGTTAGGCAAAGATTTCTTAGATGTGACACCAAAAGCAGGATCTGTAAAAGGATCATTTGGACTTCATCAAAATTAAAAACTTCTTTTCTTTGAAAGACACTGTTAAAAGAGTGAAAAGACAAAAGACTAGAAGAAAACATCTATAAATGAGCTATCTCTTGGATATATAAAGAACTACTAATATTCAGTCATTGAGATATGGTAACCCAGTACAAATGTGCAACACATTTGAACAGACACTTCACCAAAGACAGTATGCTGTGGATGGCCAATGAGTACATGAAAAGCAGCTCAACATCATTAGGGAAATACAAATTAAAACCGCAATGAAGGCCAAGCACCGTGGCTCTCTCCTGTAATCCCAGCACTTTGGGAGGCCGAGGCAAGCAGATCACTTGAGATCAGTTTAGCACCAGCCTTGCCAACATAGTGAAATGCTGTCTCTACTAAAAATACCAAAATTAGCCAGGCATGCTGGTGGTCACCTGTAGTCCCAGCTACTCGGGAGACTGAGACAGGAGAATTGCATGAATCCAGAAACTGAAGGTTGCAGTGAGCTGAGATCGTGCCACTGTACTCTAGCGTGGGCGACAGAGCAGACTCCATGTCAAAAACAAACAAACAAAACCTACTAAAATGACTTTCTTTTCAAAAAATACATATTCAAAGAAAAAACAATGAAATACTATAGCACACTTACTAGAATGGTTGAAATTTTAAAGTGGTGATGATACCAAGTATTGGGAAAGACGTGGAGAAACCGGAACTCGTGAGAATGTAAAATGGTACAATTGCTTTGGAAAAGTTTGGCAGTTCTTAAAAAGTTAACTATATGCCTCCCATGTGCTCCAGCTATTTTACTGCTAGGTATTTCCCCGAGAGAAATGAAAGCATGTGCCTGCTTACGAATGTTCATGGTGGCTTTATTTGTAATAGCCTCAAACTGGAAAAATCCTGAATGTCCATCGACAGGTAAATGTGTAAATCACAGTATATCCATACAACAGAATGTTACTAATGAAAAGTCAACTACTGATATCTGCATGACGTGGGTTAATCATAAAATAATTCTGAATAAAAAGTTGTATTTTAAAAATACATGATTACAATTATGTAACATTTTAGGAAAGGCATACTAATCTAGAATGACAGATCAGATTGCTTTGGGGTAGTGAGGAAGAACAGGAAAGAGGGGTTACATAGAGATAGAAGGAAACTTTTGGGTCATGAGTAAGTTCACTGTCTCAATTGTGTGGCGATGATGTTTTGTGTGTGCACACACACTTATGTATTCTCTGAAAATTGTTTCTTTGAGCACTCTATTGTAGCTGTCACTCTCATTTCTTTGACTTATTTTACAATGCAGTTAAGTCTTTGGGAAAGTCACTTATGTCATCAGAAAAGAATGCCACCAAAATAGCTTCTCACTTAAGTTCCCATCCCCAGAGCTAACCCACAGGAGGTTCTGATAAATTCAAATATTTAATAACTTGTATTTTTCTTTCTCCTTAAACACAGGCCCTCTGGTCCTGGAGGCAGGATCATGTGGTGGATTCTTGGCAGTCAGCAGTCTGTGGAGCTTTTGCAGGTGCAAAGGATTATATTATACTGGGAAAGACCAAAGAGGGGGAAAAATGTGAAAATATTAACTATGCAAAAACAACATTCTTTAGAAATTCCAGATTGTTTAGATGAAGAGCTCTCCGTTAGTTGTTTGAGAAAAGCATGTGTCCTAGGGAAAATAACTGCTAAAAAGGTGTCTGCCTGAAAGACAACCAATTTGTTTTTGACAAATTTTTCTTTTTCTTTTTATCTTTATTAAAGCCTTCACTCAGGCCCTGGAATTATCTTAAAGATGATTTATAAAGTCCTCTGTGGGAAGAGACTTGCTGTGGGTGTAGGGCTGACTGTGCAGCTGTCTGCCTTGGGCAGTGCTTAGGGGGTTTAAGCGATTTCTGCAAAAGGCAATGATTCATGGTTTGTGTGACATGTTTGACAGCACTGTAGATTAACTAGTATCAGGAGAGCAGAGGCTCCTTCATAGCTTACTGAAGGCTAAACTGCTCTGTGTAGGAAGTATGGAGATCTACACATCTGGGCTTTTTCGAGACATGAAAGCAAGAGCAAGGTGACAATATGCAATATGGTGTTATCCATCACTAAGTCGTCTGAATTTTCCAGGGAGGCTTTAATGAGAACTCAGATGCTTTAAAGAGAAGTGATATGCTTAAAAGCCTAAGCGAGAAGTATATTTGGTTGTTACAAAGTTAAATGAGAATTATAGTTGAAATACAATGGAAATTTGCCAGAAAATGAAGCTTTCAGTTGAGATGTGAAGCCGGTAGGGGAGGTTTGGGGTGTTAACTTTATCGGAAAATAATTATTTTCCAGTTTGTTTAATCGTCATTGGTTTTTTGTTGTCACGATTGGGAAAACAAAATGTACATTTTATTGGATTCTTTATTAATAATTAGACTTATTTGACTTGTAGAATTGATAATCAAAAATAAGAATTTTGCCTCTAGACATGAAACCAATCCAGATTGATTATGATGGTAATTGTTTCCACATGACACAATAGTCATTAGCTGTGTTAAATAAGTAGGTGGTCTTGATTCATTTTCCAGAGGTCAGGAGTCATTATTCCCCAGTCCTTAAGAGAGATGTGCGTTTTTTGTAGACTGTCTCCTGGGCCCTGGGGACAAAGTGAGCACACTCACTTTGAAATTCAGTCATCCTGGATAAGTAAGGCTAATTCTTAAAGTTAGCAATACTATAAAACTTTCATGTGTTGAAATAAGGAGAACATATTCTCTGGTCCTATTCCTTAAATACCCAATTCAAAGATTTGCTTGCAGAGACATTGTTACTATTAAGGAAATTTGCATTAATTACCATTTCCTTTTCTGAATAATACTCTGTAATAGACACTAAGCATTTAGATTGTCAGAAGGAAGGGGAGAAGGGAACTTCCTATCAGACATCCTCTATGTGGTAGGATCCTGCCCTCCAGGCCCTTTCAGTTGACGTGGTTCTCCTGGGGAGTGTGGCAGCATAGTCAGAGCTGCGGTGATGCTGAGAGGTGGGGAAGGGGAGCGAGGTGCCCACGGCTACACACCTAGCGCAGGCTGAGCTGTGTGACTTGCAGGATTGTCAAGTTTCTGTTTTGTCCCCAACTCACGAATGAGATTTTGGGGCCCTCCTGAGTACCAGTTTCCTTACCTGTAATGTAGAAGCAACAATTCCTACTTAGGGGATTATTTCAGGGCTTGAGATAATGTATGGTTAGTACTCTGTACTCTGTAAAACCAAGTCGATGTAAGGAATTAGTACTGTTTAAGTAAGAACAACCAACATGCTGAAAATGAAAACCTACTATCACAGTAATTCACCTTCTTGATTGAGTGAAGGAATGTCATATCAATAAAATTGCTCTACAGAACAATCTCCTCTAATAGCTTGTAAATTTTGAAATGCCTCCAATACAAGCATATTATTATTTTTTTTTGCAGACGTTCTAATAAGTGGAGTTTGTCCAAGGCCTGCAAAAAATGCATTGTCAGTAGATCCACGTATATTTAGCAAAAGATAAATTTCTTATTTATGTCCCTTATTGTTTTGAAATTTTATTTGGTACAAATGTTGATCTACAGGAACAGGGTTACTATTTTAAAACATTTCTGAAGGATAAATATCACTTGAAAATATTCCCATTTGTGAAAAAGTGAGGTTCTCTAAGATTTGCAGCATTGTGCCTTACAGAGTATAGAGACGAATGATATCTTGTGCAGTCGCTTTAAAATACTTACACACTGCCTTGCAGACTTTACCCTTACACGGCCATAAAGGGAGTGAGAAAACTTGCCCTCAAATGAGAAATCAGAGTTCTCATCCCATGTGCTTTTCCAAGTTTAAATCGGGTAAATCATTGCAGATGAGCCATTCTGTGTGCCATCCTTGGCACTCTTTCTTGCTAATGCTTGTTTTATAAACTACTTGGCACAAGTATCCAAAAATGTCCCTTGAGATTGGAGGTGTTGATGGCTTGTCATGCTCAAAAATTCCCTTGGCTTCTGGTCAGGGGTTAAACTAGGGAAAAAGAGGACTTTGCCAACTTCCTTGCTTTGAGTTACCGTAATGCAATCTAAGTAAGCATGACATTTGCTGCTATAGTGATTTGGGTACTCTAGTATATTTTGGTCAGTTTCTCATAATAAACACCTCTGTACATTCTCTAGGAGAGAAGGGGGTGGGGGAGAAAGAGACAGAGAAAGAGAGATTGATTGCAGTCTCTCCGTGGGTTTGAAATTCTAGAATAGGGTGAGGGATTATTTGGGTAACAAATGAGAAGGCCTGACACAATCTTTATTAAAATACAAACAAAAACTATTTTCCTTGTTGTTGATGTGGAAGTCTTCCACATCTGCACACGTCATTGGAGGTCATGCAGAAGAGGAGCATGGTGGTGCTTTTGTCCCTCCCAGACTAATCAGGGGCAGCACAGGATCTGGAGGAGCAATGAATGGCAGCAAGGTTGCCTGGGAATGGATTTGGGGACTTCCCCCCTGCTGCCCCTACATTCTTAGCTGCTGCTCAGGGGTGACAGCTCCAGCCTTATTGTAGGAAGGCGGCTGCTTTGTCTTTATGGCAGGAGAGGGGGGCACAGTTAGGGAATCTGCATTTGTTCCTCAAGGAAATATGAGATACAGTGCTATCATAAAATTGTAGTTTCCCTTGAATCCTGTCCTTGAAAGCAGTTAGCCTAACATTCAGTACAAACGTAACTCCAGTGGAGACCATGGAACACTGTTTCACAAATGCTTTGAATACAAAACCAGCCTATAGTTGCTGTACCAAATAATTATTTCCTGTCTCATATGTTAGAATGCTCCTTATATTTGCTGCCAGTAGCTTACAGTGCCCTTAAATCTAACACTTAAATAAGTACATTTTAACTGAAAGTCCTGGCCCCAGCCCTTCCCCATTATGAACATTAGTCTATTATCTTCACAGGTCTTCCTTACAAAAGAATTATGAGGTCTGTGAGTTAGAGAAGTCTTTGATGAGACAGGCAAATTGATGTATTAGCAACTTACATAAAATTCCACTTCTCTCATGGTAGTAAAGTTAGGACCTATTGAAGCATATGTGTTTCTGTCTGTAACTTTTCTTCATTTTAATTTCATGAAACCTAAATCTCCAAGAGAATATTGGGAGGCATCCACACTGAAGGAATGGTAGACCTTTGCTGATGACCAAAATAAGTTTGATTTGCAGTAACTAAATTTATTAGATGTTCCTTATCAACCTTTAGGTCTTAATTGGTTTAGGATCATTTGTGAACATTTTCACATACCAAAGTGGGTTTTAACAATTGGACAGATTTTAAATTGTCTTATCATATATCAAAGCAGTTATGTAGTGGAACGAGTACTATTTTTGAAGTCATGATACACGTGACAGTCCCAGGTCCCATATCCGCCGTGTGGCCTGTGCAAGTCAGCTGGTTGTAACATGGGAATAGTAACACCTATGCAAATGAGATCAAACCATCAATGACAGTGCCTAGTGCATTCCTGGCATGCCATATATGAAGTAAGCACCACAGATATTAGCTCCTACCTTTACCTTTTCCTGCCTTTTAAGAGGATGAGTTAACAAAAACTAGAGACCAGGGCACCAATTAAGTGTTTTCGAGTGCCTGTGTGTGCTGGTCTAGAGATGGAAAGAAAAATCACTTAAAAGCTCTGTCCACACAGGAAAGAGTTAATTACTTAGTGATCACTGCTGTGAGCCAGATGCTGTTCCAGACACATTGCATAGACCCATTTAGTTCCCATGTCATACTACTGTCTGCATTTTACAGATGAGAAAACTGAGGCCACTAGGACACCAGTGGCTGAGTTCCAGTTCCGGAGGCAACACAGACTTAAGATCCATTCTCAGCTCAGCACTAAGTAAACTCTTCGAGTTTTTAGCCTCTGTAAGCCTTGATTTCCCCACCTGTAGAATGGGGCAGTAAGAGTCCCTAGCTCATAAGGTATTTCAGCTAGAGAATAAGTAATTATCTTAGGGCAGACAACTGGTAGAGCAGGGATTTAAGCGTTAGTCCTTCCGACTCCAAAGAAGGATTCCTTCAGGCTAGAGACCCTGCTGCTGGTAAGGGAAACAAAACCAAATCTGTTATTTCAGGGTATGGGAAGTCTGGGATAGTAAATTTGTTGTCTTTGTGTCTTTTTCCCTGTTCTTCTTTTCTTGGGGAATGGATACACACACACACACACACACACACACACACACACACACACACACACAGATATAAAGTGTTCATGCATCCTATCGTGTAATTAAAAGTATATTTACTTTTCCAGGGCAAAATATATGGTTAAGAACAAAAGTGTAGGATTTCAAGACCAAGCCCACAAAAATTAAACACAAAAGTTTAGCAAGTCTCTGAATTTCAGACAATCTCTGGATTTAAGACAAAGAGTTTTACATACTCATAATTTGAAATGGCTAAACCAGAAGGGATTCAAATATTCACGTCAGTTGATAGTACTTACCCCTAAGGTGTGTGACATTCGAGGGTAACCAGAAATGGACCATGAGAGCGTAACTAGGTACACCTTTCAAAAAGTCAGTGTCATAGTAGGTGTTACCATATGGAGGAGGCGGTATAATGATCTTATTTCAGCATCATATTTAGAAAGATATTTGGCAGAGATCAAATGACCTTCTTGTCCACAAGCCACGAGAGCGAGAAGAAAACTGGTGCTATTTCGGGAGTATCCTTCACACACGTGTGTCCTGTTCAGCCCCTATAACACTGCCTCTTTCCCCCAGCTCTTGGAAGCTGAATCTTTGTCATGTCTTTTAGGGTTTATTATTTCTGTCTCCATAGGGCCTCTTGGGATTTAGACTATATCTTTGCACTGCATTAAATGAAATCTTTACACCATAAACCTGGTTTATTTTAAAACAGAAAGTCCTTCAAAAGTCCAGTCTGTATATAGTTCAGCCGTCATGACATTCAGATAATGCAATCATGAGAGAGAAGGTAAGAAGGAAGCCAGAAGGTGTAATGCCTACTGAACCCATACTAAGAAGATGTAAAAGAGAGCTTAGAAATGTAGGAACTCTGACTGGACTGTTAACAGGAGCCTGTGAAATATAAAAAAGCTTTATTCTTTTAATTCAAAGAATCCAACCATGTATACCAAAAATCCCCACAATGTTACATGGGACTCTATTTGTCCATTTTCCTACTTGCAGATCAGAAATGATAGAAGCATTTTAGAGTCACTTTAAAGAACAGTGGCCCAGGCTGGGCATGGTGGTTCATGCTTGTAATCCTACCTCTTTGGGAGGCCAAGGCAGAAGGAGTGCTTGATGCCAAGAGTTCAAGACCAGCCTGGGCAACATAGCAGGACCTTGTCTCTACAGGAAATTTAAAAATCAGCTGAGCGTGGTGGTGTGCATCTGTAGTCCTGGCTATTCAGGAGGAGGCTAAGGTGGGAGGATGGCATGAGCCTAGGAGGGTGAGGCTGCAGTGAGCTGTGAGCAGCACACCACTGCACTCCAGTGTTGGTGAGAGACAGTGAGACCCTGTCCTTTCAAAAACAAAAAAAGACAGTGGCCCATAGAAAGTCATGAACCCTCTGGGAACCATTAGGAGCAGTATATCTCACATACTGAGATCTTACTGTATACATGTATGTCATATATGTACACATGCATCATATATGTACACATACAAACACACTCATTAGATTGCTAGTTAATGAAAGAGCAAGGTAAATTGTGGAGCCCTGTCTTTTTCCCCCGAGTGGATAGAGCATTTTCTTTTACACGCAGTTCTGTATTCACCATGTGCAAAAGCAATGAAGCACATGGGTAGATTTTACATGTGTGCGTCCTGTTCTTGCATCAGGTGTACATAATGATGAAGTGATTTGGGCAGAGTGAGGAATTCTGAAAAAATTACAAAATTACCATCTAGTACCGTAAGTAGTATCTCACTTGGGTGTTGGGTATTACTTTCACAGGTGGATTTGCCGCTGCAGTCACCACACCTCTAGATGTGGCAAAGACAAGAATTATGCTGGCAAAGGTAAGTGGTGAAATAATGTACTGGAGACGTTTCCGATGCTCATATCTGTCAGCAGTGGGACTACAGGTATATGAAGTGAATACAAATGGCTACCATTTACCTGTAATAGCATCTTATGCTGCCTGTGGAAACTAAGAAAACCGCCACTGATGGAATAATGTCCCCAGTGTCTATATAACATTGTACCATTTCACAATCATTTTCACCTGTGTTATGTAAGCATGTAGGGCCAATAGGGCCATTGCCTGGTAATACTATCTTCAGATAAACTCTATTTTTACTGGTGACAAACCTAAGTCTCAGAGAGGTTGACAAGCTTCCTGCCATGCAGCAGGTAATTGACAGGCTTTGAACCTAAGGTTGCGATTGGCCTTAACTGGATGAGTTAAGACAGTTGTCAGAAATGTTTAAACAATTGTGTTTGAGAGAAAAATTGTTTTTTAAAAAAACCCTCACTAGATGGAGAGTTGAAAGAATGCCATACACCTAACATACCTGCACCAAACCAAAACAGAAAAAGTCCTAGCTGTGTGGAAAAGTAGAACAAATGTGGGCCAAATTTTAGTGTGGAGGTGGCACGATCCAAGCTAAGAATGTTGGTGATGATTTCAGTGGAACATGGCGCTGTATTAAATATGTTTATTAGCTGCTTAGGCAGGTTTCATGGTTGTATCATTTACACGAACAATTCCCCGTCCTCCTCGTATTGCTTCATAGAGTTTCTGTCCTTCTCCTATCGAATAGTTGTTCATCAGTCATCTGGTGAGGTCTGAAAAGCAGCCTCCCATGTGGCCTGGGCCACGTCCCTGCTTGCCTGCGTGTCTGAGTGTAAGTGCTTCTGAGCAAGCGAGCCAGGTCCTGACTGCCAAGAAGCTCCCTGGTATCTGACACTGTTCTAGATGAGGGTGATGGGGAGCCGTGTGTCTTGAGGGCAGCTGTGTGATGGGAGCTTCAGAAGATAACGGGTTTCTCTTTTTGTCTGTTACCACAGGCTGGCTCCAGCACTGCTAGTGGGAACGTGCTCTCTGCCCTGCACGGGGTCTGGCGCTCACAGGGGCTGGCAGGGTAAGATGAGGAATGCTCTCTTGCCTTTCTTCCCCTCCACCACTCCTCCTTCAGCCTGACTTTGGACAAACACCTCTCCTTTCCTTCTTATCTTCTGATTTGAGTTTCTATATATTGTGCAAAATATGGTAGTTAACGTTGTATATATGAGATAACATAGCAAAGCAAATTGACAAGAGTATTCCAGCCAGGCGATTCTCAGCCTTGTCCATCTTGATGTTAGATGGAATTCACCTGTGTGGCCTTCACTAGAGTCTGGGCTGCAGTGATGAAATGCGCTTCTGGTTACACACTGCAGAAATACAAGGGAGTGAAGGTAACATTGTTAGAAGAAAGCATTTCTGGTTTTGATACTTTTAACTGTTATTAGTAACAAGTTACTTTCAAGGTACCACAGCGCAGGTGGTAGGACTCCACAGCTAGCATCCAGTGAGAACCACTGTTCTTCAGAAGTGCCTTAAACTTCTAGCTTCATGTCCTAAAAAGCTGTCTCTGCAAGGTATTTCAACATTGCTTTGACAGCATAAACTTGTAAAGCCACATGAATGTTGGGATCTTGCAGGCATGTGAAATAAAGATTTTCTCTTAGGGACCATCTACCAGGGATTTGCTTGCAAGAGGAAAGCAGCGGCCTCCCTTTGGAGAGGGTCGGCAGCTGCCATTCGCAGGGTAGAGGCTGCTGCCTGGACTTTCGGCGTCTCAGCTGGCACTGCCACCTCCTCCTCCCGATGCCAAGTTGGATCACTTATTTGATTGTAGTTTTTGTGTGCCTTTGGCAGTTTTAATCTCAGCTGTTTGATGGTCTGGAGAACACGAAGTAGGTGAGTCAGGCTCCAGTTAAGGTTTTGTAGAAGAGCAGCCCATCAAGATAGAAATTTTCCATCTGCAAGTTTGAAGAGTAGGTGATCTTGGATGGTTTTGTTGAATGTGACAACTCTGAGGGATTGCTGTTGGGTGCCTGAAGGGGTCACAGTTTTGAGACAAGAACTGCGGTGAAGCCAGAGGAATAATTGGCTGTTGACGTCTAGTGAGAGCATGGGAAGGGCAGAGTGGGGGCGCGTGTGCTGTAAGCCTGCCACTTAGGGCTACCATGTCACGAGGAAGCGAGACCCTGGCTGCTCGAATCTGTGGCACATTCATTCTGCTGCCAGTTTCACAGTAAACAAAGGAACCATGTGAGAAAAAATGAGTCCTGAAGCTGCTTAGCCAGTAGCAGGTAAAAGGTCCTTATGGGCCGGATGCAGGGCTCACACCTGTAATCCCAGCGCTGAAGCAGGAGGATCGCTCGAGGTTAGGAGTTTGAGACCAGCCTGGGAAATATGGTGAGACTCTGTCTTTAAAAACAAATAAATAGCCGGGAGTGGTGGCATGCACCTGTAGTCCCAGCTACTCAGGAAGCTTATGGATTGCTTGAGCCTGGGAGATCAAGGTTATAGTGAGTTCCATCTGCGCCACTGCACTCCAGCCTGGGTGACAGAGCAGGACCTGTCTTAACAAAAAAGTTGGTATGTGTTTCAAATACAGTTGGGCTATGCACACGGAGAAGTCACATGCAGTGGTTTTTAGACTGTGAAGTCCAACTGCCAAATTTCACTGTCTTAGTTCATGTTTGATTCTGTGGCAACTGTTGGGCACACCTCTTCTGTCGACCGTAGCTCTGTAGAGCTGTGCAGGCTGCAGCCCTCTGCCCTTCTAGAGACAGTGGTGACAGGTTGGGGTGGCATGGTTGACTGGCAGCCTCATGGCCCCGAAAGCTGGCAGAGTCACATTGAGTAGATGATTGAAGATAATCTTCCCTGTCCTGGTTGTGGCTTTTACTATACTTGACATTATAAGTGCCAGAAACACAAGCAGAGGAGGGATGTCCTCCTCGGGCGAAGGGCCTGTCCCTGTCCCCACTGTCAGCTCTGAAAAGGTCGTTTGGATTTTTGTGCCTCTTCTGAAGCCTCCTAAGTCATGGGCTCCAGTTAGTCTGTACAGTGTAGTGGTTACGAACATTACAGACAGCAATGGGTGTCACTGAAGGGATTTTTAATTAATCTCTTATTCATGATTAAAGACAATAAATAATTTGGAAAAAAAAAAAAAAAAAAAACAGTAACAGAAAAAGCTGGCGGCTGGCTGTCCCAGGCCCCCTCAGCCTGAAGTTGTCTCCACCGGCTTCCTCACTTGGGTCTCCGGGTACACAGCGCTGCTGCCACCTCCTGTCTCCTCCCCTAGGACCTCTGGGCACGCGCTAAGTTTACTAGGTACTCTTGGGTTTCTCAGCAGACACCATCTCCTCTCCTTGGGATGGAATGGTGCTTCCCTCTTGGGGTCACGTCAAGTGGTGACCATTTTCATCTTTCCATGTTGTTCACACAGGTGAAGACCTTGTTCTGGCACATACTGGGAATACACATAGAAATATATTACTAAACAAACATCATGCGTTCATTCAGCCCAGCAGCCAGCAGACAGATGGGGAGCCGGCGCGCCTCGCTGTCCCCTTCTTGGTTTTCTTCACTCATCAGCTGGCTTTCTGTTTTCGTTGATTGTGCTCTTTATGTAGTAGCTGCCACTACTGCGAGCATCCCTTTATTCTCAGTGCTGTAAATGCTTAAGCTTGCTCTCATTTAATCTGTGGGCACTAGAACACGGTGCTGCTCAATTCAGAAGTCTTCACCTGCGAGTTCAGCTGAGGCACTCCCAATACAAATGACTCCACGTTAAAGCCGTAATTACGTTAATAGATTCAGTGGTCATCTAGTGAAACCATAAACTGCTTCCATCTGCCTCTGGCTAGGAGCAGCTGAGCTTGTGAGAGGCAGAAGCTGAACAAGACGCTGGCGTTTAGGATTAAGGTAGTGAAGGCAGGAGAACTTCGTGGCCGGTGTCGTCTTCTGCAGCTCGGCTTCTGCTGGCATCCGGTCTAGCACCCTTTCCTTCTTAGGGTAGGAGCCGGAAGGCTCTTCTGTTTCTCAGGCCAGAAGGACATAGTGGTAATGTATGAATTTCTGTCCTCACCACGCACCCTGTGCAAAAATAATTTGCATGATGCTGAGCTTTTTTTTTTTTTTTTAAACAAGTATAGTTTAGTTTTCAATACGATTTTCATGGTTATTTTTAGACAAGTAAAAGGGGTCCTTAATCTTACGTGCAGTATTTTAATGATTTAAATCCTTCGTTAGCTAACTACAGAAGGCCCCACAGAACTCTTCTTAACCTCCCATTTTCCTTACAAGTGCTGAGTGCTGCAGAGCGAGGCTGCTCCGCCTCCCCCAACAACGCAAAGGTCTTGGGAGAAAGGACTCAGTCAGGTGCTGGGAGCAGCCCGCAGGGACCGTCTTCCTGCCACATTTCCCTTCCAGGCCACCAGCTGCTTGTCACGGGGGCTTTTCCCATATCTTAAAGGATGCACAGCTACTGCAGGCATAACTTGACCATTTGCAGTTTTCTTCCATAGACCTGCCCAGAAACCTTTTCACTAGCATATACACTGATTTGGCCTTTATAACTCCTGCTGCTCACAAAAGTATTAGAGGCATCCCTTGCTTAATTGCACTTCTGATAGTGCATTATTTCCAAATTGAAGGTTTGTGGCAACCCTGGTTGAGTGAGTCTTTCAGAGCCCTTTTCCAGCAGCATGTGATCACTTTCTGTCTGTGTCACATTTTGGTAATTCTCACCTTTCAAATATTTTCATTCTATCTGCTGTGGTGCTCTGTGATCAGCCATCTTTAATGCTACTACAATTGTTTTGGGGCATCACACACTGCGGCCATCAAAGAGGGCAACCCTAATTGACAAGTGTGGTAGGTTCAGGCTGTGCCTCCAACCGGCCATTCTTTGTCTCTTTCCCTTTCCTCAGGCCCCTCTTCTGTGAGACACAGTATTGCAGTTAGGCCAGTTAATAATCCTCCAGTGGCCTCTAAATGTTCGAGTGAAAGAAAGAATCACCCCTTTCTCATTTTAAATAAAAAGTGAGGGCCGGGCATGGTGGCCTAGACCTGTAATCCCAGCATTTTGGGAGGCCAAGGCAACAGATGGCCTGAGCCCAAGAGTTCGAGACCAGCCTAAGTCACAGGGCAAACCCTGTCTCTACAAAAAATACAAAAATTAGTAGGGCTAATTTTTAGCCCTGGTGGTATGTGCCTTTAGTCTCAGCGACTTGGGAAGTTGATTGAGGTGGGAGGATCACCTGAGCTCAGCAGGCAGAGGTTGCTGTGGGTCACGATCGTGCCACTGTACACCAGCCTGGGTAACAGAGCAAGAGCCTGTCTCAAAAAAAAAAAAAAAAAAAAAAAAAAAAAAAAAAAAAATTAACAAATGAAAATCTGGAAATGATTAAATTTAGTGAGGAAGGCATGTGGAAAGCTGAGATCAGCCAGAATCTAGGCCTCTTCTGACAGCCAAGTTGTAAATGCAAAGGAAAGGTTCTTGAAGGAAATGAAAAGTGCTATCCAGCGAGTACACAAATGATAAGAAAGTATAACAGCCTCATTGCAAATATGAGGAAAGTTCGAGTGTTCAGGATAGAAGATCAGACCAGCCACAACATCCCTTTAGGCCAAAGTCTAATCCAGAGCAAGGCCCTACCACCTCTCTTTCATGAAGGCTGAAGAGAGGTGAGGAAGCCGCACAAGTCTGAAGCTAGCAGAGGTTGATTCATGAAGTTTAAGGAAAGAAGTCATCTCTGTAACACAGAAATGCAAGGTGAAGTGGCAAGGGCTGATGGAGAGGCTGCAGCAAGTTATCCAGGAGATCTAGCTAAGATCACCAACGAAGGCGGTAACACTAAAAGCAGATTTTCAATGCAGACGAAATAGCCTTCCATTAGAAGAAAATGCCATCTAGGACTTTATTAGCTAGAGAGGAGATACCAAGGCCTGGCCTCAAAGCTTCAAAGGACTGGCCGACTCTTGTTTAGAGGATAATGCAGCTGGTATGTTTAAGTTGAAGCCAATGTTCATTGACTATTGGAAAATCCTAGAGCCTTTAACAGTACTGGTGAATCTACTCTGCCTCTGCTCTACAAATGGAACAAAGCTTGGATGATAGCACATCTGTTTTCAGCATGGTTTCCTGAACATTTAAGCCCATTGCTGGGACCTAGTGCTCAGAGGAAAAGATTCCTTTTAAAATGACTGCTCATTGACAATGTACCTGGCCACCCAGGAGGTCTGATGGAGATGAATGTTGTCTTCATGCCTGCTAACACAACATCCATTCCTTAGCTTATGGATCAAGGAGTAGTTTTAACTTTCAGGTTTTATTATTTAAGAAATAGATTTAATAAGGCTTCGGCTGCACCAATAGTGATTCTTTTGCTGGATGTGGGCAAAGTAAACTGGAAGCCTTCTAGAAAGGCTTCACCATTCTAGATACCAGTAAGAACATTAGTGGCTTCATAGGAGGAGGTCAAAATATTGACAGTGCTAGGACGTTGGAAGAAATTGATTTCAATCCTCATGGCTGACTTCAAGGGGTTCAAGACTTCAGTGGAGGGAAGTACATAACTGTAGGTGTAGTGGAAATAGCAAGACACTCTAGTTAGAAGTGAAGCCTGAAGATGTGACTGAATCGCTACAGTCTCATGATGAAACTTGAATGGATGAGCAAAGAAAGCGATCTGTTGAGATGAATCGACTCCTGGTAAAGACATGGTAAACACTGTTGTAAATGACAAAGGATTTAAAATATTTCATCAATTTAGTTGAGAAAACAGTGGCAGAGTTTGAGACAACTGACTTCAATTTTGAAAGAGGTTCTACTGTAGGCAAAATATATTGTGTGCTACAGAGAAATCTTTGATGGAAAGAAGAGTCCATCAATGCAACAATTATTATTTTTAGATATTGTCACAGTCACTCCAACCTTCAGCAGCCACCACCCTGGTCAGTCATCAGCCATCATTCAAAGCAAGACCGTCTACCCGTAAAGATTACAATTGACTGCAGGTTCATGCTCATTAGTTTTTTTTTTTTTTTTTTTTTTTTGCAACAAAGCATTTTAAAAGTAAAGTATGTACAGATTTTAGACATAATGCTATTGCATACTTAACAGACCCACAGTATAGTATAAACATAACTTCTGTGGCCTGGGAAACAAAAAAAATAGTATGGCTTGCTTTATTGCAATATTCAATTTATTATGGTGGCCTGGGACCAAACTTGAAATATCTGTGAGGTATTATGCCTTTACTCTTGGTAAAAAGGTCCAAAGGTTATGGAAACATGGGCCAGGAATGTGTCCCATAATCCCTAGACAACAGTCATTCAGTTTAGGACACATCCCTCGCATGCCTTTTAGACATGGAATCATACATATAGTCCTTGGACTTGGTTTTTTAAGCCCAATTTGTTTTGTAATTTTTTAATGTTGGCATCTGTGGGTTTCCTCATCTTTATCAGCTACATAATCATCCACTGCGTTTATACTGTGCCATAACTTACGTATACATCAGCAGTGCCACAGTGTAGGTCTTTGAACAAATATCTATGAGTAGGTATGGGGGGGCAGTTTTAACGAATGAACCCCCACTTTATATTCTTGTGCCATTGTAGTTTTACTTTGTGTTTCTGATTATTCTACACTGCACCTTGGCTGGTGAGTGGTCTTAGACTGTGCAGGTGCAGGCAGTCACAGCCACAGCGACAGCCCATTTGCCTTTAAACAGAAAAGGAACACAGGGGATCCATGAAGGTGTGACTCGTTGTGACATCATGTTTTGGGGTCTCAAAGGACAAAATGCAACTGAGTTGGTGGAGCGGCTGCATTGCCCAAAAAGCTCTTCAGTGAGCGATCCCTTGGAGACCACTTTGGAGATCTGGGCTGGGAAGTGCCTTCCAGGCCTTACCTAGGTTTCAGCTCTTTGATGCCTTTTTAAAAAAAGTTAATTTCATCATCTCTCAAAGGGAGAAATGGCATGAAAGTTTTAGAACTTTCTAAATAAGTTGCCTTATTTGGGAGTGCTCACAAGTCCGCTGTTGGGTAGTTAGCCACCTTGGCCAACAAACAGCTGGGCTCACACTTCAAGCCTAATTGGGGATGTAATTTAGTGCCACTCTGAAAGGAAAAAAAATGTACGTTAAGTACCATGTGTGGTTTAATGAGCAAGCTGTGGGTATAGGAATTTAACCTTTTTAAAATACAACATTAATAATCCTGTTTTTTTCCCCTAGATTATTTGCAGGTGTCTTCCCTCGAATGGCAGCCATCAGTCTGGGAGGTTTCATCTTTCTGGGGGCTTATGACCAGACGCACAGCTTGCTGTCGGAAGTTGGCAGGAAGAGTCCTTGAAGCAGAGACAGCCTCACGTCCTCTTCTGTCAAGAGAGGGGCCTGCAGTGTAAACCCTCCTTCCGCTGAGCAGCTGTCTGAGCTACAGGCCCCACTGCCAACGAACAGTTCTGTCAAGATGCTGGCATCGAGATTGTGCCATCCGTGGTATAGTCTGGCTAGTATAAAGTCAGCGGCCTCTGTGCCAGAAGGAGAAGAAAATGTGGTCCCTGGCGGTACTGTGAACAGTTTCCTCAGAACCTCTTAATAAATAAGTTTGGTAATGCTAAGGCCAGGCCTTTCAGAGCTTTCATTTGATTTCTATCCGATCTTTCATTTCCTGCCACCTGATGGTGGATTCAGCAGAAGGCAAGACGGTTACAATTTTCAAAGGACACTTGGGGAAGAAGTTGTGTATGTGGGTGTTTCTCCCCCTAGGTAATTCCTGGTGTGGAAGCTTTGTTGAACAAGAATGAACTACAGGTGCATAGCAAGCATTCTTTCTGGGTAATGAGGCTGCTGGTTTTAATTACCCTCAGATTTCACCTATAAAAACACAATTGTATTGTTTTACAGAGACGTGTCCAGCGCCCCTGTGATGTGTGAGAGAAAGCAGTTTCAGCTCAAGTGACTAGGTGCGCCCAGCTGGCTTCACGCAGGAGGGCACGGCCGGTAAGCCATTCCCGGTATTCTCCATGTCAGGCTGAAAGGAGGGCCTGGGCCGCTTTGAAAACAGCGTTGCTAGAAATAGGCAGGATGAAATAGGAAGGTCACCACACTTTGGGATTTTATAGCTTGACTAACAAGCTCCAGGTGTAGAAGAATTCAGACCAGGATCTCAGGAATCTAGCAGTGTTGTCTGCCCTGGAGCCAATATTCTTTCTTTCTTTGGGAAAGATAATTAAAGGCAGAGTGGCTGTGTTTGTAAAAGAAGGACCACCAACTATATTGACATTTATAAATGAACCTTTATTAAAGACACTTCAATGCCATTTGTTAGACACTTCAATATTTTACATGGTTTTCAATGTACACTGTACCAAAATTTCTATAAATAAATAACTTTGTACATAAAAGTAATACTTCCTCTTTCACATTGCCTCTCAGAAGCAGCAAATTCACATATTTTGTGGAAGTAAGATTAGTCAGTTAACTGTCCAGAACAAAATTCTAAATGTGCTTACCTTTTGAACAGTGATGACACCTGACAGTAAAATTGACACTTAACTATTTTCTCAGTAACTCCCTTCAGCTTTTGGCCAAAGGCACATTTTAAGGACCTTGTTTGTTTCTATGTAATTTTTACTAAATTACACATTGGCACTCACAAGATGGTTAGCTACAGGTCTCAAAAGTGCAAATACACCCAGAACCCAGGTCAAGGGTGAAGTCTTTTCCAGTCCCAGCTCAGTTTCATCTGTGCGAGGGAAAGGCACACGGACAGCCCTGTTCTGGAGCCTCAGTAGAAATAAGGTAGCCCTGAAAAGTAAGAACTTCCTCCTTTTCATCCCCCAAGGCCAATGTAATACTAATTATATTGGCAGAACGAAAACATCACTACAGAAAAATCCACAGGTACCAACACCAGCAGCCTTTACCTTAACTAAAAGTCTCAAATAGCAATCGAATGATACTGAGAAGGCCACATTTGCTTTTATCATAAAATAAGCTTCAGAGGAGGAGGAAGGGCAGTATGTAACTGTTCTGACCACGTGGATTAACAGCCCTCATTCTACTCCTGACAGACGGACAGCACTGAAAAGGAAAAGCCAGGCACTGCAGTGTGGACGGCACCTGCTCCCGTGGCTCTCCAGGGAGGCCCGTGACAGAGGCACCTACATACAAGCAGTGCTCACCTGAAGCTCCTTCCAGCGCACGTGGAGTGTGGAAGCCAACCGAGCAGCAGCCTAGGGGTCTGTATATGAAGTGCAATACAAATCCAAGCCCTTCCATCCTTCCCCACCCCACCCCAAAAACTCCTGGGAACAAATGTGGTTGTAGCCTTTATAAATTCCAGCCATGCGTTAAGGCACCAGAACTATTTCCCCTCCCCCCTCCAAAATTAAACAGCAACCTGATATGAAAAATAATATTGTCAAAATTGTATAATTTTTTTTCCTGTTAACCATGCACTAAAGATTAAAATAGCCTCTGTAAAAGATATATATGAAATCTCTGAAAACTCTTATGTACAATGGTATCAAATACTTTTTCTGCCTTTTGTACACAAATACCCTCTTGCATTTCTGTGCTTCAGATGCAAGTCCTGTGACTGACGGATACTCCACATGGCAGTTACAACTATATCCACGTCAGTGATGCCTGAACCCAGGCTTCCTCACCGCCTCTCCTACCTCTGTCCTGTAGAGATTGGCGTGACAAGAGCTGAGGTAGACAAAACCTAGCTTTTTGGTGCCAACAGCAGGGGCACCCTCTGTTTGCCAGGGAGCTGTCCTGTCAGTGGTGTGGACTCGGGACTGGAGTCACATGCTTTGGGGAGGTGGCCATTGGAAACAAGCAAGTGCTGGGCTTCCGTGTGCTCTGGATTGCTTGAAGATAACGAAGATGCAGGCTGTAGCTCTGAGTCCGGGTCATACAACCTTGCTAAAGTCCAGGAAGAATCCCCTACAAGGAAAGAAAGGACCCGTCAGACCCCCACCTGACTGGTGCAGCAGCTCCCCACCCACCGGTTAGTGGCTCCTCAGAAGACAGACAGTAAAAAGTTACCTTTCCCATCTAGAGATGCCACTGGCTTTTTCTTCACAGCCGTCAGCATTCTATCGTGGTTACTGGGGTAGAGCGACCCCTGGCACTCAGGGCAGGACCCAGCAGCAGTCCCGCTGCACTGGTGGTGTGGAGAATGCTCTCGGTCACTCCCACCTGCCTCCGAGCCATGCGGCGCACCTGGCTGCACGCTGTCTCTGGACACAGGCTGGGGGTGGAAGGCTTGTTCCCTGGAGTGACAGTCCACCTCAGTGTTGCAGTCACTGCATACAACCCAGCCACCATGTTCTGAAGGACAGCACCAAAGAAGGGTTAGAGCCACTCTTCATCCGGCACAGAGAACAGGCTGCTCAGCTCCACCGTGCAAGGTAAGAACCCTGACTGCAAACACCATTCATGCTTCTTCCCTCTCCCAACTATGTCCTCAGAAAAGGACTGGGCAAACACCGAGCTGCTCACGAACAGGGGTTTTTTATACTCCGACAATGTAGTCTTACTACTTGGGGGAAAAAAGCCATTTGCCTTAGGTAGTACCATGCAGTGTTGGGTCTATTCAGCAATTAGAAATTACAGGCCTGGTGCAAAGGTGCTTTGCCCCTTATTTGGTTTGTGCTTTGCCCCTTATTTAGGTTGCTCATTAAATAAGTTGCTCATGGATCTAGAAAATCCATGTTCAGGCTTAGCATGCCACAGATTGATGTAGGAGAAACTATTCTGGAATTAAAAGAGAACCAGGCCCAAGCTTTGCATTTATACACTGAATACCAGATTTGGAGACAGCTGTAGACTAATAATTTGTCTCCCCCTTTCATGTAGTGACTAGGTCAGTCCAAATTTCCATTTCAGAAAGGAAGACTGCACATGGGAAGCATCTCATACCCATCTGATGTGGCCCAGGTGTTCCGTCGGCTTTCTCTGTCGCTTTCCACGGCTCTTTGTGATAACCAACACAGAGCTTTGGCTGCCTGCAGGCAACACTGTGAGCATCGGCTTCTGCAAAGTGGCTTGGATCTCTTGGACAGACACCTGTGATGGATTCCAACACAATCAGTCTTTCACAGGAAGTCTTATGAAAGGAATGGCCAAGGCCGCTAGAACAGACATTTTTTAAAACGTTCTCTAAAGTGGTGGGCTATTGGTCTAGCAAGCAGCATCTTTTTTTTTTTTTTTTTGAGACGGAGTTTCACTCTTGTTACCCAGGCTGGAGTGCAATGGCGTGATCTCGGCTCACCGCAACCTCCGCCTCCTGGGTTCAAGCAATTCTCCTGCCTCAGCCTCCTGAGTAGCTGGGATTACAGGCACGCACCACCATGCCCAGCTAATTTTTTTGTATTTTTAGTAGAGACGGGGTTTCACCATGTTGACCAGGATGGTCTCGATCTCTCGACCTCGTGATCCACCTGCCTCGGCCTCCCAAAGTGCTGGGATTACAGGCTTGAGCCACCGCGCCCGGCCAGCACGTTTTCTAATATGGCTTCCCAGCAGGGCGGCCGGCCTGTGAAGTGGACAGCTCTCTACAGGGTGAGCCTCTACAGCAGGCGTCCCCAAACTTTTTACACAGGGGGCCAGTTCACTGTCCCTCAGACCGCTGGAGGGCCGCCACATACTGTGCTCCTCTCACTGACCACCAATGAAAGAGGTGCCCCTTCCTGAAGTGCGGTGGGGGGCTGGATAAATGGCCTCAGAGGGCCGCATGCGGCCCGCGGGCTTGTAGTTTAGGGATGCCTGCTCTGTGTCTCAGGTGAGTGCTCAGAAGCCCTCCACCATTGGAAATATCTCATCCTGGTGACAGCTTTCTAGTATGAGACTGGAACACAGAGCAGATCTGGGCACATTCTCCATGTAAGGAATGGGTTGGGTGGGAGCCCTGTAGTGCCCTTTGTAGCTGCTACTCCAGGCAATCCTACCTTACCCTGCCGGGGAGATGCTCAGCTCAATACAGTGACTGCCTGGAGGGCTTTAAAACCTTGCAGAACTCATGAAGGCTGGGTCCAAAATAGCAGACATTAGTCACACAGCTTTCCAGTGCAAGTGTGCCCCATCTAATGCCAGGTACATGCCCTGCAAAGAGCTGGAGGCCACCTTTGGCACCCAGAGACATAGTCACAGCAGAACTCTGCTTCACACTGAGGCCTTACCATTGCTCTCAATGTGCCCATTGGCCTGATGGCCACCCTCAGTCCTGACCACGGTTTCTTGTCGGTCAGAAAGGGTCCCCTGAGAAGAGAGGTAGCTTGGAACATCTGGTGGCACGATGGTTTCATCTGCAAGGAGACAGAACAAATGAAACACCAGGGTCACAGTGACAAGAAATGCAGACACATGTTCATTGTCAGGCTCAGAAGCGGGATCCTCCCAGTGATGACCGTCAGGGCTGGGCAAGAGAGAGAGTGTGGAGTTCATGTATGCAGCAGGCCCTCCCAGCGCCTGCCCAGCTTTACTGTACACCCAGTGTGAGGAGCGCAGCAGGCAGATGCCACAGGAGGTGGAGATGAGTGATGGGAAGGGAGCCCGGGCGCACAGAAGCACCACGCTGGGAGTTACAACCTACGATGTGGCACCGGGAC